CGCGATTTCTTCTCCGGGGGGGCGAGGATCGCCGTGGTGCCGCCCTCGGAGATCATGGCGACCGACGCAACGCGGGCTAGGCCCTAAGACGGGGCGCCGCTTCAACGCCGGAGCGTCGAGGACGGCGCCGAAGGAGGAACTGACGAAGACGCCGAGGCCGCGCCCCGCGGGCGGAGAGACGGAGTCCCTCGGCGTCGGTCGGTCCTGCTCTCGTCTAAATCGTCGTCGTGAAAATCCTGGGTCTCCAAGAGGGGTGTGGCCGCGTCCCGCGGCGAGGATGAGCTGCGGCGCGGCACGTCGGCCGGCGCCTCGTCTTCGCGCTTCGCGGCTCGCCGCCGGCGAGAGCCAGCGTCGCCAGGGCTCGAGCTCCGTGTCACCGGCTCGTCGCGCGCGCGCGCGTGCCCTGTGTGTGCTGTGTCTCCGAGGCGGCCCGTAAGGCTCCCCTACTCCTCGTAGACCGCGCGCGTCCTGTTCGCGGCGTGGCGCAGCCAGTGCGCGACGGTGGCCAGGTCGTCCTCGTCGAGCGCCATCTGGAGCTCGTGGCCGCGCTGGCCGACGACGAGCGTCTTGTGCGCGTAGGCCTGGAGCCCGAGTGTGACGGCCGCGGGGACGTTCTTGTCCGCGCCGCCGAGGACGGCGAAGACGCGCGTCGGCGCGCCGTGGTGCGCCCCCGGCGCCCGCACGAGCGCCGCCGCGGCGTCCATCTCCGCGTCGCCGCCTGCGGAGCGGGCGCGTGTCCTTCCCGCGCGCGCGCTCTCGCCGGGCGCCGGCGCGCGCCGGGGAAGTAGCCCGCCTGCTGCGCGAGCATCTGCGCCGCGCGCGCGGGTCCGTGGACCGCCGCGCCGTGGGTCCCCGCGGTCCCCGCGACGCAGGCCCGGAGGTAGTCGGCGCGCGCGCGCGGGTCGAAGACGGGGCAGAACGCGAGCGCGAAATCGAAGGGCGCGCCCGCGCCCCAGCGCGCCGGGTCCGCGGCGAGCGCCAGGGCGAAGAAGCCCCCCGACGAGCTGCCGGCGACGCCGAAGGGCGCGCCGAGGCGCCGGCTCGCCGCGGCGACGTCCGCGAGGTCGCGCAACGCCGCCGGGTGCGGGTGCGCCGCGCCCTGGCGGAAGGACGTGTCGACGACCACCAAGCCCCGCGACGCGAGGGACCGCGACTTGGACGCGTGGCTCTCGCAGTCGCCCGTCGTGAAGCAGCCGCCGTGCGCGAAGACCGCGACGCCGAGCGGCGCGGCCGCGGCGTCCGCCGCCGTCGGCGCGCGGTCGAGGGTCTCGTCGCGCTCCGCCGGCGCGTAGGCGCGCGCGTCGATGACGGCGCCGTCGCGCATCTCCAACGTGTAGCGGAAGACGCGCACGGCGAAGGTCTCGTCCGCGGCGGCGCAGGCGCCGTCCTCCCGCGCGGCGCCGACGCAGGCGCAGAGGACGGCGGCCATGAGCGTCGGACTCGAGCGCATGCACGAATAGGATCGCCTCCTTTGCAGCGGGTCGCAGCGCTGGCTCGGCGCAAAGGTTCACAGCAGCTGGGCGCAGCGCTGGCTCGGCGCAAAGGCTCGCAGCAGCTGGGCGCAGCGCTGGCTCGGCGCAAAGGCTCGCAGCAGCAGCTCACAGCTCGCAAGCCATGCGCCAAGACTGTGGTTTAAGCCTGAGCCGACATCCTTGCCGAATTTGCATGCTCATCAAGCGAAACCTTGCGGGCTGCCCGAAAGAAGCTCCCGACGCCGAGCGATCACCAGAAAGCCATCATGGCGCCGTCGCCGCTCCCGCGCCGCATCAACGTCATCAGCTACAACCTGTGGCTCATCCCCTTCTCCGGCGCCTGGAACTTTGGGCGCGTGAACCGCTGCCGCGACCGCGTCGCGTTCGAGTGTGCCAAGCTCGAGCGCGAGGCGCCGAGCGACCTGCAGATCGTCGCGCTGCAGGAGGCCTGGGCCTTCCGCGCGGGGCTCGCGTACCCGCTGCTCTGGCTCATGCACAACTTCGAGGCGTTTTTGCTCGGCCTCGGCCTTTGCGGCGGCGTCGAGCCCGCGGCCTGGACGCTCGTTAAGAACGCGACGAGCGCGCTCGCGGCGCTCTGGGCCTGGGTCCCCGGCGCGCGGCGCATCCTCTGGTGCCCCAAGTGGCGCTTCGTCGAGGCCCTGGGACAACTCGGCCTGCCCTGGCACGCGAGCGGCCGGGGCGCCTTCGCCGCGCACCCGAACTTTGCGCGGCCTCCGCTCCTCATGGACAGCGGCCTCCTGCTGCTCGGCAGCCGCGCGCCCGACGCCTGCGGCTTCGAGGGCTACTCGCGGGCCGAGAGCTCCGAGGCGCTGGCGAACAAGGGGCTGCTCTGGGCCGCCTTCGGGAAATTGGGCCTCGTGGCGACGCACATGACGTTCCAGTTCGACGACGGCGGCGCGTCGCGCGGCCGCCAGCGCGCGAAGCTCGCGAACCGCGTCGCGGCGCTCCTGGGGCTCGACGCCGACGCGGCCACGCCCGTCTGCGACGTCGTCATCGCAATCGCGCCCGCGTCTTTTCGTTTCCGCGGCGCGGCGCGCGACGCGCGCGCGCCGCAGGTCCTCGGCGACTTCAACCACGCGCTGCCGGAGCAGACGACGGGCGCCGAGCCGGGCGAGGAGCCCGAGGGCGGCAGCCGGAGCACCTACGTCCGCGCGTGGCTGCCCGGCAACGCGTCCCTGGACCTGCTGCTCCGCGATCTCGCGCTCGACGGCCGCGCGGCCGTCGCGCGCCTGTCGCCGGACCCGCCGACGAACCTGGACGGCACGGTGGACCACGTCTTCGCCGTGTCGAGGCGCGGCGACGCCGCGAGTTACGCCGCGAAGTCTATGGCGACCATCGCGGACCCGGACGCGGACGTGAGCGACCACCTCATGATCAAGTGCGCCCTCGAGCTGCAATAACCGTCCTTACTAGCGCCGCTAGGCCTTGCGCGGGCGCTCGACGGCGGCCACGTCCATGACGTTGTTCGGGCTGACGCGGTCCCGGCCCTCGTCGTCGGACGCGGCGCGCGCCGCGTCGACGTCGGGCCCCGCGGTCGACACGGGCGGCGGCCGGCCCGCCGTCGCGTGGACGACCTCGGCGTCGGCGTCGTCGGGCTTGGGGCCGTCGAGGTCCATGAGCCGGAGGCCGCACTCCGTGATCGCGCGCGCGGCGTCGCCGCGCGCCGCGTACGAGAACCGGCAGTCGTGGACCCGGCGCGTCCACTCGGCGACGGTGGCGACGTCGGCGCCCTCGCGCTTGAGGCCGATGATCACCGCGGCGACGGCGATCATCGACGGCGGGTACTTGAGGAAGTGGACGTCGCCGCGGGCGCGGTCCGCGGACGCGAGCGCGCGGCGGCCGACGGCGGCGACGTCGACGGCGAAGCGGTCGTCGAAGAGCGTGAGCAGGCCGTGGACCGACGCCTGGATCGTCGGCGGGTTCAGGTGCCACTTGAGCGCGCAGAGGAGCTCGAGCTCCATGAGCCGGAGGTCGCTCCCGCTGAAGAGGCCGTCGGACAGCGTCACGAAGTCCGACGTCCGGAAGGGCCGCGTCTCCTCGATCTTCGACGCGAGGAAGATGGACGCGATGGACGCGAGCCTGGGGGGTCGCGCGGGTTCCCGCGGCCGTTCGAACGCGAGGTCGGACGCGGCGCGACGCGCTGGAAGTTGACGTTGCCGCAGGACCGGCGGCTCAGGTAGCGATCCAGATAATTCGTCGCGAAGCTCAGCGTCTCGGGCTTGAGCTTGAAGCTCTCGCCGAGCTGCGCGCGCGCGGGGGCGTCCGCGCGCGAAACTCCCCTTTTGCGAATTCGCGCGCGGGCCGCGCGCCTGGTCGAACCAGGCCATGATCTTCGTCCGCCAGGCCTCTTTCATGCCGTCGACCTGGACGGCGTCGATGTAGTCGCTGCGCGGCGCGTAGAGCGCCTGCGGGCGGGGCCGTCGTCGACCGGTGGCTGCCCCGCGCGCGGCGCGCGCGCGCGGCGGGCTGCCCCGGAGCGGCGCCCGCTGCGTCCGCGGGCGGGCGGGGCGGGCGGCGCGGGGTGCGCGGGGCTGGAGCCGCTGCGTCGCGGGCGGCCGCAAAAGGGCGGGGCGGCGAACTCACCTCGCTGGAGGATAATGCATGGAGCCGCTTCATTGCCGTCTTCGCGTCGACGGCTTCGCCGCACTGGGCCGGGAAGAAGCTCCCGTGGACGGCCGCCATGGGACTGGCCAGCGCCTCCATCAGAGCGCCATGGCGATCGTCGACTCGCCTCGACAGCAAGCCAGCTCCTGAGAAAGATCACTTGATGAAGGGCGCGCGAAAGAGTTTCAGTTCATCTCGCTTTTGGTGCAGGCTTGGCTATAAAAGGCCAAAACTCTTGAGATTACGCTGGATTACGACTTGGGATTACGGCTGAAGTTTGCCTGCAATGCCACAAGCTCTCAAGCGCTCTCGCGCCGCCGCAAGCGCAGCATGGCCGCGCTCGACGCGTCCTCGGCGGGCGCGTCGTGGAGCGTCGACGAGTGGGCGGCCTTCCCGCCGCTCTACACGCTGCAGCCCGTCGCCGAGACGCGCGCCCAGCAGCTCAAGATCTGGGTCGAGCTCGTCCACGCCTGGGCGCGGCGCGAGGCGACCTACACCTTCGCGCCGGCGGCCTGCGGCGCGTTCCGCAGCGCGAGCGCCGGCCGGGCGCTGGACGCCGCCGGCGTCGACGCCGTCGTCGCCGCGCTCGTCGCCGACGGCCGCGCGGAGCGGCTCGAGGCCGGCGACGTCTTCCTCTACGCGGCGCGGCCCGCGGACGTCGCCGCGGCGCTCCACGCCTGGGCGGCGGCGACGCGGAAGCTCGGCGGCGTCTTCACGGTGCTGGAGCTCCGCGAGGGCGACGACGCGACGAGCCCCGTCCACGGCGCGGACCCGCGCCTCGTCGCGCGCGCGCTCGCGGTCCTCGAGGACGAGGACAAGGCCGAGGTCTTCCACGGCGCGACGTCGGCCGACGCGGGCGTCAAGTTCTTCCGCGACGGCGGGTAATACGCGTTCAGTATGTGCGCTTCGGGTCGAGCTTGCGTTCTCCTCAAGCTTGAGGTCCACCGCGACGGCGGTGAAGCCCTAGAGTATGTGCGCTTAGGGTCGAGCTTGAGCTCGTCCGCGACGGCGGTGGCGCCCTAGTATGTGCGCTTAGGGCCGGCGGGGTCTCGAACGCGCCCCCCTAGGCGATCGCGCAGTTCGCGTGGCAGCCGTCGGAGTCGACGCGGACGGGGCTGAGCTTCGTCGCGGAGACGTTGCCGTCGGCGTCGTTGGAGATGAGCCAGGTGCCCTCCTCGACGTCGAAGGTCGCGACGTCGTCGCCGAAGGTCGTGTCGAAGCCGCGGATCTTGACGGCCTCGGGCGCGTCCGCCGGGCACGCGCCGCGCGTGAAGCCGCCGTTCTTGACGACGGCGTGGTCGACGACGACCTTGGCGCCGGGCTGCGCGTTGACGACGAGGCCGCCGTCGAGCTTGAGGGACCGGACCTCGACGTCGCCGCCGAGGATGAGCGTCGACGTCTTGGACAACGAGACGAAGGCGGGCTTGGGGAGCTTCGCTTTGAGCTCCGCGAGCGACGAGCAGAACGACGGCTTGAGCACGACGGAGGGCGAGAGGACGTCGGACGAGATCTTGTCCCAGGTCTCCTTGGGCCCCTTCTTCGGGACGTCGCAGCCGGCCCAGCGGAGCATCTCCGCGCAGTGGAAGTACTGGTCCGCCTCGGCGGACAGCGCGCACGCGGGCGGGTTCTTGCCGACGGCGTCGGCCGTCGCGTTCTTGCAGGGGCTGAAGGAGATCCAGGACTCGACGGACGTGAAGCCGACCCTCTCGCTCTCCGGCAGCACCTTGGGGTAGTCCTGCATCATGCACTCGAGGCGCGCGGGCTTCTTGAACTTTTTTTTCGCCGCGTCCGCGTACTTGGGGTTGACGAACTCGCCCATGACGCCCGACGTGCGCGCGAGCGTCGCCGCGTACTTGCCGCAGTCGAGGACGAACTGGTTGATGTTGCCCGGGTAGGGGCTGTGGACGCCGTCGTCGCCCGCGACGTCGCCGTTCTTGTTCACCGTCGCGCGGAGCAGCGGGTCGAGCTGGTTGTACTCCACGTTGAGCGTCATCTCGCGGCCGTCCGTGTGCGTCAGCTTGGCGATGCCGCCCACGGCCTGGCCGGGGAACCGCGGCACCGTGAGGAAGTTGCAGTGGAGGCCGAGGCTCTTCGACACGCCGAGCGTCGCGAGGAGCGGCCGGAACCCGAGGCCGTTCGTGTCCTGGAAGAAGTAGACCCACTTGCGGCCCGCGTCGGCCCACCGCTTGACGAGGCCGCTCGAGTGGAGCAGCATGTGGACGTCGCCGTGGCCGTGGGGCTTGGCCTGGACGCCGTAGGGGCCGTCGGGCGCGATCGCCGCGTCGTTGTCCTGGAGCGCCGCGACCTTCTCCTGCTTGACGAGGGTGATCTGCCCCGGCGCGGCGCCGAAGTCGCCGTGCTCCTTCAGGAGCGCGACGGTCATGGCCTCCGTGTCGCCGCTCACCATGATGGCGAGCGGCAGCGGCGCCTTCGCGCCGGACTTCTTCTCGAGCGCTAAGAGCGTCTCGACGTAGTACTTGAGGTAGCACGTGTTGCTCGCGGTCTCCGTCGGCAGCTCCACCTTGATGCGGCTGTAGCCCAGCCGCTCGCCGAGGCCGCCGGCGACGAGGACGAAGCCGCACTGCGCCGCCTCGCCGAGGCCCGACGCCTCGTGCGCGAGCCACTCGGGACTTCCGAACCTAGCACGCATGACGGTGACGATGTCTAATCGCTCGGCCGCGGGACGCCGTCCCGGACGCGAGCGACTCGCCCGCGGGCACGCTCGGCGTCCAGCCGTCGAGCGGGTTGTCGCCGCGCGCGCTCGACGCCAGCAGCGTGCGCGCCGACGCGAGGTAGCCCTTGAGGCCGCCGGGGTAGGACCCGTCGAGCGTCGCGATCTGGTCGTAAAAGGCCGCGCGCTTCTCGGCGCCGTCGCCGTCGCTCCAGGCGGCGAAGAGGTGGCCCTGGCCCTCGGCGACGAGCATGTCCGCCAGGGCCTTTTGCGCCGGCGTGTCGCTGATGGGCGCCATGGCTGGAGATTCACGCACGCGTGCACGAGAGGTCGAAGCGCTCAGTGGCGATCCTCCACTGCCGTACCGCGTGGCCCGAAGTAAACATTGCAGTTGGCGCAAAATCAACATTGACAGGGCAGCCCATAATCGAGTGTGTCTGAGCCCGACTATCGTCTTCTGCGCGCGGCGTGGCCGCTCATGGGCGGACCGCTCCTCGACGACGAGGCGTCGTCGTCGTCGTCGGCGCGCATCGGCGCCGCGGCTTTTGACGACGAGGCGTCGTCGTCGTCGGCGCGCATCGGCGCGCCGCGAGCGCCGCGGCGCCGCGCCCGGCGCGCCGCGGCGCTCGCGGCGGCCTGCGCGGCGGCGGCGCTCGTCGGCGGGTCCCTGCCCGGACGGCGGCGGTCCGCGACCGTCGCGCTCGCGGCGTCCAAGGGCACCTTCTCCATGACGGGCATCGTGCCGCGGCCCTTCGTCGGCGAGGTCTACGCGGCGGACGAGAAGATGCTGACCGAGGAGGAGGCCTGGGAGGCGCTGCAGGCCGCGGACTTCAAGGCCCACTGCGACAACGTGACCTACGCGTTCTGCGGCCGCAGCACGTGCCGCCTGAACGGCGAGAAGGCCGTGGCGACGTGCGGCTGCAAGCTCATCAAGGCGTCCGCGGGCTCCATCGGCTTCAACAGCAAGAACGCGTACCTCATCCGGTCCAAGATCGTCCGCAAGGCGCTCTACGAGGCCACGGTGCTCAACTCGAGCACGTCCTTCGTGAACACGGTCTGCGGCGCCATCGAGAGCCGAAGGCTCTGGCGCGACGCGGGCTTCGGCAGCGACTTCGGCAGCTTCAGCGACCCGGGCTACCCGGGCTACTGGGCCATGATCGACTTGGATTGTGATTCCTCCGGGTCCATCGACTACAACTTCGCGGACTGCGACGGCGCGCCCTGCGACATCGAGCAGGGCTTCAACCTGTGCCGGAAACAACCAGTGGAATGGCCCTGTCCAGCAAAACTTCAAACCTCTCTATCTCGGTCAGATCGACGTCGTTCCGGCTGATTTTTGGACAGGTCGTTTTCTCTCGGTGAGTTCTTTTTAGAGAGTGAAAGAGCTATGTCAAAATCGTGCAAACACGTCCATATTGAAGTCGTGTTGAATATGTTTGTTTCCTGCCAGGCTTCAACACGGCGCCCTTCGACGCAAACTACGACTCCATGTGCGTCTGCCCCTACGTCGCCGCGAACCGGTCCTACGTGATCCACGAGTACATCACGGACGCGACGGCGACGTCCTGCCCGGAGCTCATGACGGGCCTCGGCGACTGCGCCATCCAGAAGACGCTGAGCCGCAACGCGATGATGACGACGCGCGCCGACACGCTCGAAGTCTACGCGGACCTCAAGTCCGCAAGCTTCCTATCCGCGGGGACCGAGTGCCCGACCGTGAGCTTCAACAACGTGTCGACGATGCCGACCTGGAGCCCGACGGCGAGCCACCCGCCGACGGCCGCGCCGACGACCGGCGCGCCGAGCTACGCGCCGACGTACTGCCCGACGCTGTTCCCGACGCTCAACCCGACGCTCTACCCGACGCCGAACCCGAGCCTCGTGCCGACGAGCCCCGCGCCGTCCGCGGGGCCCAGCGGAAACCCGTCGTTCTACCCGAGCGCGGCGCCGACGACGGCCGCGCCGTCCGCGGCGCCGTCGTACGCGCCCAGCGCCGCGCCGACGACGGCCGCGCCGTCCGCGGGGCCGTCCGTCGTGCCGTCGTCCCTGCCCTCGCCGCGGCCGACGCACCACACGAGCGACCCGACCGTGCTGCCGTCGGCATCGTTCGCGCCCACGTCGTCTCCGACGTACGTGCCGACGCTCAAACCCACGTATCGGAAGGATCCGACGCGGGCGCCGACGTTGCTGCCCAGCCCCGAGCCGACCGTGAAGCCCACCTATCGCAAGGACCCCACGGCGGCGCCGTCCATCGAGCCGTCGCCGCTCCCCAGCCCGCGACCCACGTATCGCAAGGACCCGACGGGCGCGCCGTCGTTCCTGCCGAGCCCGGAGCCGTCGGTGAAGCCCTCCGACGAGCCCTCGGCGGCGCCGAGCTACCTCCCGACGCTGAAGCCGACGCGCCGCAAGGATCCGACCGCGGCGCCGTCGATCCAGCCATCGCCGCTCCCGACGCTGAAGCCGTCCCATCACAAGGATCCGACCGCGGCGCCGTCGTACGCGCCGACCGCCGCGCCGACGCTGAAACCGACGCACCGGAAGGATCCGACCGCGGCGCCGTCGGGCGCGCCGACCTCCGCGCCGACGCTGAAGCCCACCCATCGGAAAGATCCGACCGCGGCGCCCTCCGACGACGCGTATAGTTATAGCTACTAGCCTGTGTGTGGCCGTGCAAGAGTCGTGTAAGCGGTGCAACATCGGGTTCGACCTCTGTTCAACCTTTTGTTTGAGGCTTCATATAGAGTTTGGGCGCGCCTTTGCTCCTCCCTGCGCAGCGGCCGTGGCGCGCGTCCGCCTCGGCTTCGTCGGCTGCGACGTCCTGCCAAGTTCCTCCCGGCCGCGATCTGCATAACCAATAATGGCGGACCAGCCTGACGTCGATGCGATGGGCATCAAAGCGCTCAAGCAGTTGATAGAGAGCAGCGGCCTCTCGCACGCGGATTGCTTTGAAAAGGCGGACCTGCGCGCGCGCAGCCGCGAAGCGCTGGCGCGCCTCGCCGAGGCGCGGAAGATCGCCGACGAGAAGAAAACCGCCGACGCCAAGCACGCCGAGGCGACGGGCGCCGCGCCGCCGCGGAGGCCGCCGCCGCCGAAGGGCTCGCCGAAGGCCAAGGCGCCGCCGCCGAAGCGGCCCGCGGCGAAGCCGCGCCAGCCGCCGAAGAAGCGCGCGCGCAAAAGCACCGCCGACGAGTGGGACAGCGACGCCGAGTCCGAGGAGGAGGAGGTCCCGAGCTCGTCGGATGAGGAGTCCGTCGCCGAGTCGTCCGACGCCGACTCGGTCAAGGAGCGCAAGGCCGCCGCCGCGCGCCCAAAGGCCGCGAAGCCGGCCGACGGCACGGCGTTCGCGCTCTGGATCTCGACGGGGCAGACGTCGCTCGGCGACGACGAGAAGGTCCTCGGCGTCTTCTACTCGTGGGCGCAGGTCGTGAAGCGCGCCAAGGACGTCCTCGCCGACGGCCACGGCCACGAGAACTGGTGGTGCCCCAAGTCGAAAGGGGGCTACCTGCCCGACAACGGCGACGACGACGACGACTACGGCGACCGCGAGTACTTCGAGGACCACACGGGGTCCACGGCCGAGCCCGAGGGGTTCATCTCCTGGCGTCTGGCGTCCGCCAAGCACGGCGAAGGGGGACTACGGCAACATGGCGCTGTGGGCGCAGCGCGTCCAGATCCCGCCCTGAGCGCGTAAGTACGAATCTCAGCACCACAAGTTAAGTCCCTTCCAGTGCCGGCCGAGGCAGTTCGGGTCCGTCGCGAGATCCACGAGCACGCGGACCTGGTCGCGGACGTCGAGGACGTCGCCGTCGACGTCGCGCCGCGCGTCGCCGGGGTCGCCGCGCGCGACGGCCTTGGCGTGCTCCTTCATGGGCTTGAACATGGCGTTGGTGTTCCGGTCGAGCTCCTCGACGAGGAGCGCGACGGGGTGCGCGCCCCGGAGCTTGCCGCGGGCGACGGCGACGCGCTGCTCCGGCGTCGCGGCGGCCGGGCCCGCGCCGGCGCGGCCCGGGGCCGCGCGGCCCGGGACCGCCGTCGGCGGCGAGGCGGCGGCCGTCGGCGCCGTCGGCGCGTCGTCGAGGAGGCCCGACGAGTCGTGGTCCCGGCCGTCGAGCCAGTCGAGGACGGGCTCGCGCACGAAGGTCTCGAGGAGCGCGAGGAGCGCCGCCGCGTCGCGCGGGCCGCGGAGCGCGGCGAGCGCGGTCTCCGCGGCGTCGGCGAAGAGGGCGTCGCCGTCGAGGGGCGCGAGGGGCGCGCGGAGCTCGCGCGTGAGCCGGAAGGGGATGAGCTCGGGCACGGGCAGCGCGGTCGTCGCCGTCCCGAACGCGTAGCCCATGTCGATGTGGACGACGGCGCCGTCGCCGTCCGCCAGGAGCAGGTTGTCGAGGTGGCGGTCGCCGAGGCCGACGACGTAGCCGCAGACGCTCGCCGTCGCGAGCGTCTCGAGGTAGACGCGGCGCTTCGCGAGGAACGTCTCCGGCGCGGGCGCGAGGCGACACAGATGGCGCCGGAGCGCGCCCGCGTCGCCGTCGAGCGCCTCGTGCGCCGCGGCCATGGCGGCCTCGGCCCGCCGGCGCGGCGCGTGCCAGACCTTGTCCTTCGGGCCGCCGTCGTGGACGAGCTTCAGGGCCTTGTTCCGCGCCTTCTTCGCGTCGTCGAGCGCGCGGAGCCCGCCGGCGAGCTCCGGCGCGATCGCGGCCTTGAGCGTCGGCGCGCGCGAGACCCACTCGACGAGGCCCACGCGGGGGCTCAGGGGGACGACCCGGAACGTGCGCACGGCCAGGCCCCGGCGCCGCGCGGCGCCGCCGGCGCGCGATAGGGCCGCGCCCATCGCGTCGAAGAGCTGCTCGACGCGGTCGTCTAACCTCAAATCCTCGCCGCCCTTGACGAGGTAGTCGTAGGCCGCGCCGTCCGTGGCCACGATGGTCAGCCGCTTGGGCCGCTGCTTCGAGGCCAGGGCCAGGAGCTGGTCCCGGAAGCGTGCGATCCGCAGCGCGGGCCGCCCGGGCACGGCGACGTCGTCGCGGCCGTCGAAGTCCGCGAGGTAGCGGCTGTAGGCCGCGAGGTCCGGCCGCGGCGGGGGGGGCTTCATTTCGTTCTTCAGCGCGAGCGCCTCGGCCCTGGCGTCCTTGAAGGCCCCGGGCGACGTCGCCGCCTTTGAGGATCGCGGCGTCGACGGCGTGGACCTTGGGCGACTTTCGAAGCTTCTGACCGAACGTGGCGTTGGTTTCGCCGACGCGCGCGCCGACGCCGTCCCAGGACGCGTCGAGGAGCGTGCGGCGGCAGCGGCGCCAGGTCCGCGCGGCGCCCGCGGCGTCGCCGCGCGCCGCGCGCTGGTGCGCGTCCTTGACAAAGTCGTAGTAGCGGAACTCGGGCTCGTGCAGGCCGGCCGCGGCGGCGACGAAGGCCTCGGCGGCGTCGTCGAAGCAGGCCGCGAGCGCCTCCTTGAGGACCGGGTGGCCCTCCGGGAGCCGCTCCGCGGCGAAGCGGAGCGCGTCGCGGACGCTCGCCGGCGCGTCGCGCGCGAGGCGCGCGACGGCGGGCTGCACGCCCGCGCAGAGCGCGCGCGCGACGTCGCCGTCGCCGTCGCCGTGCGCCGAGAGCACGGCGACGAACTGGGCGCCCCAGGGCGCGAGCGACGGCGCGGCGACGGCCGCCTGGCCCGCTTTGAACGCTTCCACGGCCGCGGCCGCGCGCCGCGACGCGAACAGCGAGAGCAGCCGCGGCACCGCGCGCGCCGCGAGCGCGTCGCCGCCGGGCGCCGCGACGGCGCGCAGGTAGGAGGCGACGGCCGCCGCCGCGACGGCGCCGCGGGGTTCGCGGCCGCCGCCCGGCGCGAGCGCCGCGAGGTCGCACGCGGCCGCGCCCGCGGCCGAATGGCGCGGCCGCTTCGCGGGGCCTTCGCCGTCGGCGCCGTCCGCGGGGGCCCGCGCCTCGTCGCGGCGCAGCATCTCATCCAGAAAGTCCGCGTAGGCGAAGGCCGCGGCGCCGTCGTTCGATTCCGCGTCGGCCCGGAGGCATTGCGCCGCCGCGTCCATCTGGGCCCGGGCGGCGGCGCGCGCGTCGCCGCACCGCGGCCGCGCGGCGCCCGCGTCGAGGGCGTCGGCGAACTCGCGGTGCACGGGGCCCCGCTCCGCCGCGTGTTCCAGCGCCTTCTTGTAGAGTTCGCAGCACCGCTCGCGGCCGCCGCCGTCGCCGGCGTCCGCATGGCGCCGCGCGGCCGCGAGGAAGAAGTCGGCCTTGAAGGCCGCGATGTCGCCCCGCGCGTTGTCGGCGAACATCTTGTCCTTGAGGCAGAGGGCCTGCGCGACCTCGACGGCGCCGCGCGACAGTGCGAGCGCGCCCGCGGCGAGGCGCTGGCCGTCGAGCGGCGCGGTTTGCGCGGGGGACCGCGGCGCGTCGCGGCAGATCTGGCGGCAGCGCAGGTCCCAGACGAGGTCCTCGACCTCGAAGCGGCCGCCCGCCGGGGGCATTGCGGCCCAGCGGTCCGCGACGCCGCGGCCGCCGGGCCTCGCCGCGGCGTCGACGGCGCCGAGCGCCGCGAGCTCCGCGAGCTGCTCGCGGCGCGGGCCGACGGCGCAGGCGTCGAGAGCCGCGAGGTGGTCGCCGACGCGCGCGTAGCCCGCGTCCAGCGCCTCGGCGCAGCCGCCCCAGTCGCCCGCGCGCGCGAGCGCCGCGGCGACGGCCGACGGCGCCGCGG